ACAAGTACGACCCCTCCACCACAAACTTCAACAAACTACGACCACCCGTTGTTACTTGTAGCAACGACGAAGGGGTGGCCCTGCTTACGGGTGCGAGTCGTGGCGCGTTCTGCGGCGACGAGTACGTTCCCAGCAGCCGGGCAAGACCATACCCGCACAGCAGCACAACCACCTTCTCTCCTTCTAACTCTAGCCGTTTAACATAGAAAGCGTTAGCACTGAAGAGGCAGCACCAGAGTCATGCGGACATCAAGGGGCGAAGAAGGGTCCCACTTTCCGGGTCCTGGGCCGTTTCTTGTGGTTTTTTCTCCGTCTCTGCATCACTGACCACCTCTATTTTGATTTCTGAGGCGGCTGGGCTGTCCTTTCATCGTGAACTACGCCTTTGAACGAACTTATAACAAGGCCCATGAAGGAAGTAAACACGATGGTTGGAGAGGGGAACGATTTCGGTAACGGCGTAAAGTGTGATTTGTTGGAGTGCGTTGAGAAGGGGTTCTAATCACACCCTACAGCGTGCTGATGATCTGGCTCAGCGATGGCATCTAATGACGTTGTCAAAACCGTTCCAACCTACAGCCATCGGGTTCACTGCCTTCAAATACGAATGTTCTCTGCCAATTTTTTCGTTCTTTGCTATGGCTTGATACATTGTGATATACTACCAAATAAAAATGCGAATAATAAAAATTCACCAAAGTTTGAGACGTGGATTTGGGAAAGTAAACCCAATTCAGCTTATACATGAAGACAGCAGCATTTTCTGGCACAACAATATGTGACTCTTAATCAAGGGCACATTCCACTTGTAGAGTAGGTGGTTGTTTGGTCGGAAATGATGATATACAGGTGGGGGGGGGCAATAAAAAAGACATTTTGTCTTCACACTCAGATGGGATTTAACCACACTTTGCTCAATTCAATCGAATGCGATCACAACTCTGTATTGAAAGCTCATTCTTTATAGTCAAATCTTCATGGTGCGCCACCCACGTGGACGACATCCGAGAAATTTGCCCTCGAAACATGATGCACTGGTCGAGCTCAATGGGGTCTTCGAAGGATCGTGTACCATAACGACCTTTACTGATAACCGAGTTTCGAGGGAGTTTGCATAGTGGGAGCCAATGTCTTCAGAAACTATTCAACATTGAATGGATTAACGAATTATGTAAGAGCTTCAGGGCCGAAAAGTTTAATTAGCTGACAGGACAGATGAGGGCATATCTGAAGACGGGTGGGCTGAAGGTGGGCCCTGCGTCTACTTATGCCATCTTTGACGAAAGTTCCCCAGCAAAGTGAGAGAAAAGGACCGAAGTGCGACATGGGCAAAATGCCTTTTTTTTGCCCCCCCCCCTGTATGTAGGAGCAAAGGGAATCGCTAGTGAGGTAGAAATTGCTGGATTCACGCGGAAAAACCTCGTTGACAAACGAATTGTGAGGAGGAATCGTGCCAGCTGCCTACGCAAAACTGCCTCTTTTGAATTTGATTTGAGGCCACATTTACCACAAACTTTGTCGACATATGTAGTAGGTCAGAGTCTGTCAGTGAAAGTAGGGGGGGGCAGTAATGATTTGCTCGGACCGCTCCAGTACCTACTATTTTGCTAAAAAGCCCTTCTGACGTCACTAGCGCGCCCATCATTCTTTAAGTATTTTGTATGTTGCTTAGTAATCAGTTTGTTGTTAAATAGCCCAATAGAGCTGATTATATTAATACCAGTTTAGCTCCGCCCGCTACCGCGCGCATGACACGGAAGCCTCTGACAAAACTGACAATCGGTGAAGCTTTGGGTTTCACCGCTTAACTATAGCTGCTTCGTTAAATGCATTACTGTCCGTTGCCCATCTTGGCTGTATCTCACTGTTTGATAAGCGCAGTGAAGTGCACAGCTAAAGTGATGTATGTAAACAACCACCATGCATCGAGAATCGAGGAAATTTAGCGGTCGAATAATTTTTGGTAATCTCAAGACGGAATGCCCAGTATTCACTATCAAATTTATTAGAGCATCCCATTCATCCTCAAGAACTCTAGAAGGTGTAGCGGTTGAAAGGTGTTTGAATTTACAATTATAACGCTAATGAAATGATATTGAAATGAAATGCATTATCTGCAATCTGGTTTCGAGTAATCTCTACGTTCGTACGCATATCGTAATTATCAGTCCTCATCTGTCGTTATCACTTTTGACCCCACCAAATATGTTCCCGTCCCACCCCCTATATCATATCTTGAAACCAACTCCTGACGACCACTGGTGCCCGAGCTATGAATTTCCGGTCAGACAGACAAACACACACACACACACACACACACACACACACACACACACACACACACACACACACACACACACACACACACACACACACACACAACCTTTAGCCGATTATATATAGTTATAAGCCTCAGGAGAAGTAGTATTCACCTAGTGAGCAGCTACGATTGAGCCTAGCACAGAAAGAAACCCAGGTTGGGTCAAAGCAGCTCCCCGAACTTTGTCTACTTTCTGAACCTAATAATTACGCTTTAGTTAACAATAAAAGTGGAGACTCATCGAGGTTTGAGCGCTTTGTACCGCCACCCCACTCCCTGCATGTTGGAGAACACTACATATTCAATCCTGATCACAATCTTCGATCACGAGCCTATTAGACTTGACTGAGTTGATCTTCGCAGAGATGCAGCTGATCAACCGATTTAACTGCTTTTCACCCTCTAACGTTTTCATCCACATTTTGCAGTTCACAATGCTCCCCCGCCTTTCTTCCACTCCTGAAAATCTGAGATCGAATCTTGACTTTACTGTTTGTCTTTGGAATTAGCTGAGGCAGCAGTAAGGGGATAAAACCGAGCGCTGGTCAGCAGCGTGAGATAGCCGAGCCCTCATTAGGATTTGACCCCATCCGGCGTGCTGTGACCGGCGACGTAATCTCACACAATGCTAATGAGCGACGATACGTTGACGTCTATTGGCAGATTGCCAAGCAAAACACTTAGAAGGTCGTTGTGAGACGACGAATCACAAAATCGTTTATTATTGCTTGTTTGACTGAATGACAACGACTACGACGAGTTCAGTGGGACCCTGTAATGCAGCAATACGGTACAACAGAGTGAAAAATACAATAAAAATACGAATAAAAAATAAAATATATGATGAGGAGAAGCTCTTTGTAAATGGGGAGATCACACGGACATAGAATGAATTCACAGGGCGATGACGTAGGTCTATTCTGCCTCATACTGGGAATAAATGACAAGAGGAAAATGAACAGCACAAAGTGAATCAAAAGATTACGGAAATCTTAGAGAAGCCGGCTTAAGCATCTTTACAGCCCTAGGAAAGCTCCTTAGCCCTACGAACTCGTTGTCCCTACCGATTAGGGTTAAGACTGGAGGGCAAGTCCACTCAGAAGATGTGGCTCTGTTTGACAAGGAGTAGTTGGAAACCGGAAGCGTAAGAATGACATCGACATTGCCAAAATGGAAAGCGAATTTCTGAACTATCAAATAGAAAGAAGCAACACAGGTGACAAGTAATCAATAAATAAAGAATAGCGCTCGGTAATGACCTACAGTACTGAATACAGTACGCTTAAACGGTCAGTAGATTACCTAAGGAGCGTAGTGAGGTTACTGTAGGAAAAACATGTTTGGCTGGTTTACTGGAAACCATGAAGATCTCCTTTTGTACTGAAGGTAGCTCATGAATAGTACCTCTAAGGCGGGCCCGTAGGGGATTGACCGAATGAGCTGGGGTAATTCTGACATTATTGGACGGCTGAGAACGACCGGTTGATTCATCGATAGGTTGCATGAGTGCCGAAAAGACGGTGAAGGATAGAGCGGAAGATTCAGATAGACAGCTCAAAGGTGCACTCCATTGGTGGTCGCAGCCAGCTCACGTTGCGCCTCAGACGAGCTTTCTCAACGATAGACGAAGCTCGTCAGATCGCAGCTGAAATGAATGATGTTCTGGAAGCGTATTTACCAGGCAACAAAAGAAATGCTGTTTGCTGATTTGAAATTTGAAATGGACAATACAGGGTACCACAGCCAAGGTTTTGCAATTTTTTGAGATACAATCTAAATAAAAGGATAAATAGACCATCAAAGATATTAGCCACGCATTTGACCTCCTGTTAGATTTGCTGTGGCATTTGGCAGGGACTAGGCCTATGAAATATGGTGACGCCTGCCAGCTAAACTATTTGTGTTCT